TTGTAAATCCGCTCAAAGAACTAGATATTTTTGCCTTATACTCTTGAAATTGTTTTGGGGTCTCCTTTTATTCTTTTTCAATATACCTACAAATGTAGGACCTCTGTCGTTTAGCTAATCCATTAATTCATTCAGGAAAATCAATTGTCTGCAGTAATGTTTCTATTTCTATATTCCAAAGGTTCAATCATTCGGAGCACTAATTGTGTGCGTTTACTACATTTTTTTTTCTTCTTCAGTAAGCCCATCTCCATCACAATCATTTCCGCAGTAGATAAGTGCACTATAAAGATAATTGTTCCTTGCATCACAAAGGCACATTTTTAGTTCAGATTTCGCCGGTTTTTTGGGCATATATATTTTATATTTGCTGCATCCTCTGAATTCTACTAGCATCTTGTCAACACAGGCTAATTCTCCAATAGAATACATGCGTTGGCAATTTCTTATGAATGCATAAAAGTTTTCCGATATTGGAGTTGCTGTGTCAGTTTCCATACGATAGTTTCTTGTTTTAGAGTCCTTAAATCGCAAGCAATTAAATAAAAATAAAAATCTCACTTTAGAAGTAACGCATCTAAATATTTCTCAACCTGTACCGTCAGTAGCAAATAAACAATCAAAATCTTCACTTTTTGATTTGAATACGGCAGAAGTCCAAGGAAGGCTTTGATTTCTAATACATTATTATCCATCAATTCATACCTATTTCGATCAGAATATTTCCTTCTGCAGATGCTTATTTTTACATTAGTCCATTTCACGACCAGGCTGATTACTCCTTCATCAAAAAGCAAAGACCAAGTATGTTCGAGCTCTGCTCTAGAGCCTATTTTTGCAGGTTGTTTTAGACCAGGGAGCTGAATAATTATGTTATGCTTTGGTGTTCGTACCACCAAATTTGTTTCTTTTTGGCACCATTTGAAGTGATGTTTTCCATAAAAATTATTATTTTGTTCACAGTCATTAGAAAAACTATCATATTCATCTTCAGAAAATTCAGCTTCACTTTTGCTTTCTCTGTGAATACTACATGATTCTTAAGAATCAGAGTATTCTATGCCAGAAAAATTATTGTCAAGATATTCAGTTTCTTGTTGAGATATATGGGACGTATACTTGAAAAATTTGAAGTCTTATTTATCAGTTTTACGAAAAACAAACATCAGATAAAGAACCTCTGTCGTCCACTAACACTGGTACGCATCTGCCTTGATGAGCGATGTCCATGATAATTTAACAAGTAATAAACGTGGTAACTGAAACCATAACACATCCGCTTGTTTCGGAAGAACAACTGTTTGGAACAATTTTTCTATTTTGTCAAAACAGCCAGTCACCACAGATCGTTTTGGGGTTAACACAGGGAAAACTTGTTCTCCATTACAAACAAGCTGATAGTATTTGATTGATTGAAAACAAACAACTTGCAATTTTTTCGAAAGAAGGAAAACATCGCGTGCCTTTTTTTCAAATAGTAAAGCAGGCAGAGAAATTGTCCAAAGGTAAACCAATAGTGCATGTCCAGGGTTCTCTATTTTCACTTGTAGCACCTCTAAACCACAAATAACTTCATTCATTATATCCACTAAGTTTAGAGTTTTTGAAGCTGAATCATTTTGAATTGAGGGTTTATTTTGAATTGAAGGTAATGAAAATAATCTTTCAGTTTCTGCAAATATCACCTCCCGCTTAGTCGAAAACCGATCCTTCAATAATTCCCACGCTATGATATAATTCTTATTATCGCTACTGCCTACACAATACGACAGGCATCTGCTTTTAATAAAGATTTTAAACACTGTAACTTTTGAGCATTTAACAACTTGGAATTACTACACGCGCATGCATTAAAAAGGTCACCAAACGTAATCAACTCCTGCGAATTTCGGCTAAGTGGTTGGCGAGATCCAATTTAAGTGTCACAAATTTATCTGTTTCATTTTAAGATGACTTTTCTAGATTTTCTTGAATGCTGAAGTATTTCTCAATGTACATTCCATATCATTTTCCTTACACTTTATATATAACTGATCAAATATGTCTTTCATTTCGCTGCTAAATACATTGTACTGCTTTAAAAGTAACTGGCATTCATTTATGCAAATTTTGCGTACTAACCTTGTATTTCGTTATTTCTGAGAAATTCTCAGTCACACGATAGCTCGAAAAGGAAATTTATACATCACATGGAGACCGCATAATAATGTATAATACTTTTATTGTTGACAATATGTTTCAAGTTACACGGAATCTCTTCCACAGCTTTACATTCCTCGTTACAGCCAACTCCCACTATGAGATAGGCAATTCAACCCAGCGTTTCAAACTGGAGGGCAGCCTCTCCTTCCTTCTCTTGCTTCACTGCAAGCTCTGACCACAACCGCCTCACTGCTTCTTTGCAACCATATGAGAGAAAAAATCTCATGACGTCACTGCTTATGACAGAAAAATAATTTAAAATCATTTAACATGTATCAGAATTTTTACGCAAAAAATGCGCATAAATATAAATTGAATTTAAATTACATGCCTTATTTTTAACACACACTCAAAAAGCAATATATGTTTCAAGTAACAACACCATGTGATTAATAAAATGAGTCCCACGAATGGCTGGTTGGCTAAAACCGCTGTATTTTAGAACTTCTATCCGGGTTCTTAACCCAAGCAAACGGGCTGGCTGCACGGTTGGTTTTCATAGTTTCCTCTCATGAATGATGTAAATATGTGCTAGTTTTCCTTATAAAGGTTTCCACGAAAGATTCTGTCTTCTTAGGCAGATAACCTTCGCATTCTTTGTCACATTTAATAAACTTAACCTCAGCTATAATAAACTTAACCTCAGCCTAAAAGTATTTTATCATAATAATTTTATATTTACACTCAGCCATCAAGTTTCAAACTTTTGATTTAAAATACGCTTCTGTATACATTCATAATCAAATTCAAATTTCTTAGTAAATATATTTTCGAAGAGCATTCAATGCATCTGTTAGCAATTTTGCACAATTCAATAGTTCTCTGGTAATACTATAATAAATAACAACTATCCATTTCCCATTTAAATATGAACTCATTGTCAAGAGATCGCACTCTTAATTGCCTTAATCTGCATACCAACTTTACATTATACAATTAATCTAAATACGCGAACATCTGAAATTTGCTTACTGGATATCAATATAATGTTACGAATTTTTCATAGTGTAAATTTAAAGTTCTCGAAATCGAATCGTGTCAGAGTTACATCAAATGGCTAAAGAGCCGCATGCGGCTCGCAGGCCGCTGTTTGATGATAACTCCTCTCAGGTAGCCTGGTTCTTATTCAAGTTATTCACAGGGATTGTGACAAAAATGTGAATGCAACTAACCCGGTCATCGAGGTTGGAATTTGGATTGAACTACCAGTGTTCAGTGGTCTTATCTGCTTGGCTAATGGTGAAAAGCCTAATGAAAGGAATCATTTTTTAGGAGAAACTATCACCAGTATTTGAACATAGATCAAACTACCAACGTTCTATAGTCTTACTCTGTTGATCATTGGTAAGAATCAAATCAATACATATAATGAATTCGCGTATAATGCATGGAGCAAAAAAACAATAGTTATTTACGTTGGAATGAAGTCAAAGCGAAGAATTTAAACTTAGACTGAAGGTGTTATGTCAAAAATAAAAGAAAAAGAAAAGCAAAATTAAAGGATTTACTTTAAAATTTTATACGATGACTTGCAATGAGACTGCAATCTGCTTTAAAAGTGAATTAATTATTATATAATGCCAGAATTTTCATGTTTAGATCGTTATTGACAGTATCAAAATAATATCCCTGTATAGATCTGTATAATTTTAAAATTTTGCATTTATTGTTTATATTGTTTACAGCTAAGTTCCCCCTTTTTGTAATATTTACGTTTCACGGAAAATTATTCAAAAACGTTATAAGGTATTTCTCCCGCCTTCTTAGCATACCTTCGTAGTGTAGAGGTCTGCACGCTGGGCGCGTATTCCAGAGGTCCGTGGTTCGATTCCCGGCGAAGGCGTTGCTCATTTTTCATCTTTCCTGCTTTAAAAAAATACCTAATGTCTCTACAAAGTAATTATAATATTTTATCATTTTCAATTAATAGCAAAGATCATTTATACGCATATAAAAAATAATAAATGTTGAATATACAATGAAACGTGTGGAAACGGAATTCCCAAGAGAAACTAATGAAATAATGAACGAGACATGAACAGCTATCAGTTAATAGTTGTGAAAAATAGCTTTATTAGAATGTCACTGACTTAATGCAGCTTTTAGCATGGAAAATATTTAGAATTTCCCATGCAAAAAGCTGCTATTTCTCTAAATATGCTTCGTATTTTAATTAAATGTTGCAGTGTTAATACATTCCACACATATTATGTATGTGAATATCATTAAACTGAAATTTAACAAGACGGAACGAAACGTGATCTTCTCATTTCTTTTATTACTAACTTTTGTTGTTATATTATTCTTAGGCACCACGTAAATGATCTTCTAATATTAGTATTTAAAAAAGAAAACAAAAGTATGAGGTTAGCGTATTTAATAAAATATTCTTCAAAGCAGTAAATACTGCAAGTTAGGAAAATGACAAAATTTGGTTTTCTAATAAATTTAAAAGATTAAAAGTAATTTTTAATAAAATAGAAAATTTATCCAACGATAACCCAAAGTTTCCGTGGTAGCCGAAGTTCAAAATTCAATGATCAAACTCAATGAATGGAGCACCTGTCTTCTCGCAAAAGAAATCGATTTTCTGTTTAGGAAGCTTATCATGTCCTTCAAGCCGTTCAAGGTTATTCTTGCACAGTCAGACCCTTCAGAAACACGTGAGGAAACATGTTTATGTAGATGACGTATCACGTAGGAGTGGCGAGACTTCCGATTGATTATCGAAGTACCGAAGTCCATTGTGGAGATAACACCGTCTTCACATTCCGCGGCATATGATGATTTTCTCAGAGGGAAAGATACTTGTTAGCTTTGCGAAGTGATATCGTTAGTATATAAAACTTAAACTTAATAATTTGAGGTCTCTTTAAAAAAAATTGCTGAAGTTAAAACTTCTTTGTTTGCAGCTCGCGATGGATCGTCTTTGCATAATCCTTGTTCTCTCTGCGATTGCAGCCCATGTGTGCGTTGCATCGAAATTTCAAGACTGTGGTTCAGCTGCTAAAGTGAATAGTGTTACCATAAGTGATTGTCCCGATTCTCTTGATGAGTGCCCATTAAAAAGAGGTACAGAAGCCAGCATCAGCATTGGATTCAAATCTAACTCCGAAACGAAGACCCTTAAAGCCGTCGTCCACGGTATTATATCTGGTGTTCCTTTGCCATTCCCACTTCCTCAACCAGATGGCTGCAAGAGTGGAGTTTCTTGTCCAGTGCAGAAGGGACAGTCTTATACCTACGCCAATAAGCTGAAGGTGAAGAATTCCTATCCTCCATTGGCTGTTAAAGTGAAATGGGAGCTGAAAGATGAGAACAACAATGACCTGATATGCGTGGAAATACCATGTAAAGTGCAATAAGGAAACATCTACTCATGATCTTTTTTTGTGTGTGTGTGTTTTTCTATTACAGTGCAGTGCTAAAGAAGTTTAACATATATATAGTTTTTAATTAATTCGAACTGAGATATGCTACGGACGATTTTGTGATTGATTCTACCGTGAGTTTTAAACAATATTCTTCTTCAGAAAATTTGTTTTAAGTTATGTGGAATCAGCAATGCCATTAAAAACTCAGGAAATTACCATAACACGCTGAGTATAATTTGTTGTAAATAGCAATTCATATGTGACAGATCATTCAGTACAGAATATATTACAGTGCATAACTTAAAATGTTTTTGTTTATTAATGATTAATTTATGCTGTTAATTTATTCCGACTGTTTTGTGTGTTTATGCAAAGCGAACCATTCAAGAATGTATGCGAACCAGACAGTATGTGCATAGTATTAGTATATTTAGGAAGATTTGGATACCAGCTAAATTTTAATATTAATAAAGGTTTTATTGAATTAAGATGCATTTTTTTCATTATTGCCATTTTGTGTCTGTAAATTGCTAATTAATGTGTATCTAAGTATGAAATCGTAAAAATGTCTATTAAAAGATTTTTATGTTTAAAGAAAAATGTATTTTGATATTATGTAAATTAATAGTATAGGGGAATGTTTTTGTTTATGAGATATATTCTGTTCAGGTAAGTATTTTATCAATGAATATTCAAGTAGATATACACTTTATTTTTCAAAAGTGAATCACAAATGTATAGTATAGGGGGATACTTCTGTCTGTGAGATAAATTCTATTCAGATTAGTATTCTATCAATAAATATTCGAATTGATACATACTTTATTTTTCACAAGCCAATCTCGGGAGGAATTTAAACTCCCTTCTAGGACACAGGAAAATAATTAATTTTCACTTGGATCATTAAATTGTATTTAAAATAATTTTCCTTGAATTTTAAATGGTATGATAGATATATGTATATATCCTTAAAAATTTTATACACTTAAGAACGGTTCTGAATTGTTTCGCAAGGCATAGCTTTAAATACTTTTCTTTTGAAGCATAAAACTCTAAAAAAATAAACATCATATACTTGAAATTTCAAAAAATAAGTCCACAAGTTACACATTAACAAATATGCTGTGGTAAAAGTAGAATGTGATTATGTATGTATAGTTTGTCTGTCAAAACCTATTATTTATGTATATCACCATGTCGAGATAATGACATGGTGATATACGGAGCGAATAATTTTTTTAGAGATAGGCTTTCCATTATTATCTGGTACTTCCTAGGAAACTATATTTTTCTTTGAAAATCGGTGATCACAATTTAAATTTCCTAAGAAGGTTCGGAAATTTTATTTGTGGTCACCGGATTTCAGGAAATAAACGTTATCCAAACATTTAGAAGGAATACTGAAGAAACCAATGTATGAAGCATTTTTAAAGCTTACATATGCAACAACTATGAGCTTCACAAATTAAAAAGTGAAAGGATGTGTGTTTACAAATTAAAAAGTAAGCGTATATTATAATTATCCTTTTTGTTTATTACATCTTTTAACTTCAAATAGAACCTGAAATTAATTTTTATGCGGACTTAGTAGCATAAGTCCAGTTAAAAAAATTTTGTGATAACCATTTCGAGGTTATTTTAATTCAAAGCATTACATTTAATTTTCCTATTATGAACGGTCAACAAGGTAAGCAATGATTTTCTATTTGATGAATTTATAATAGTTCTATTATTCCATGAATATGAACCAGCAATTATTTAAATACAGCGTCATATAAAAATAAATGTATGATTAAATATGGAATATTATTTATAACATACATCATATTTTGATTAGTTAGTGAAAAACTTTAATTCTCGCATGAAAAACAAATTAATGAAATAAAGACGAATTTTCTTTCTTGTGTGTAGAAATGCCACGAACATTTTACGAAGCTGTAAACAGTAATTCCTTAATTTATCATTAATACTGGTTAAGGAATCTGTTGATTTGTATATTAATCTTTCTCAATCAAAACTAATATTGAACTCGATTTCGATAGTGTTGTAACAGTACTAGCATTTTAATAATTCTGATTTATGCATATGGCAATGAAAAGTAAATCACTTATATGTTAGATAGAGAAATTTTAATACTGAAACTGTTTTCTAGAGGCTGTTTGCACATTTTTAGACGATTTTCATCGTAACTGCAGATATATTTTAGCTAAACTTTTCATGTTATAAACGTTCCATTTGATAACCCTCTTCTTCATTATTATTATAATTTCTTCTAAGTCAATAAAATCTCTTTGTAGTATCAGAAAAGGTATTTTATTCCATCGCTCCCGAACAGCTTTCAAAAGTCTGAGGAAGCTGTAGGTCGACGTTTCGACAACCCGCTTTTTACTCCAGAAGCGCAAAGATACATTGTTGGTAAATTGGTGGTAATTCAGTTAGAGATATAAGTGAAGCGTATAATCTTGATACCCGTTTCTTCCATTTTTTTTCCAAAAAATTAACAGTACATTTTGACGTGTCGCTGCTTTCGTTTCCTTGATAGAGTTCTATTGATTGATCACAATGTGTGTAAAGGGAAGGCATTTCATATTTGAAAATTGGGTATAAAATACGTTTTCGATAATATGTGGAGTTGATCTTAACACTTTGTCTGTTCTCTTTATTTTTAATTTGCCGTTATACGAAAAACCGGCAACAATCATAAATCCCTTAGGAAAACATTCTTTAGATTCATTGAACCATGTTTTAAGGGTTTTTTTCCCTCTTCTTTGATGATAATAAATGTATTTCATTTTATTTCAGATTTAAGTACGCCCAAAATTCGTCTATTGTGATAATATTTATTCATTATTGTCCAGATAAATGTTCTGAAAACGAATTCTCCAGCGCGTTCAGCGATATGTCGTGGAGAAAGACGATGCACATTATGTTTCTTCGCCTTTTTTTAAGATTCAAATCAACATTATTCCCTTTGTTTACAGTCGACACTGAGCATTTTAATGATTTTACAACTGTCCTTTGACTTGGTGGACTTTCTTGTAACATTAAAATTCTTACTTTTTGCAACATTCGAAACATTCCGTTTTATCTTCGGATACATATTTGGAACAATTTTTCCACTTGAAGCTAAATTTTGACATTTTTAGCCCGAAAGGCTATTAAATTCGTTTTGCCATTTTCCGAGGATTCACTTTTCAAATTGTTGCCACCAACTATTACAGCCCTGTATTATATTTAAACAAATTAAATCATTAAAAATATACATAAATATATGTATATTTCTCCCATTGTGATAAAACAACGGTACGTAAAGACATAAAATTTTGAATAACGTAATCCTCCAGCAAATATGTCCATCTGGAAGCCCTAATTTTAAATCTGTTTTATTATTTATTTCATATTTTGTGAGACGTTAAAGAATTTTTGATTAAGAAACTCAACCATTTCAAAGCTAGGAACGGCAATACTGTACGGAAAAAAAAATATTTTATCTCCAGCGCGCGGGACTGTGTATGGGAAATTCTAAAGATACGCTCATTTAAAAATTATTTTGCGATATTGCTGTCGAATTGAAGTTTATGATTTAAGTGCGAAGAACATGATATTTAATAAATAAAGGTAACAAACAAAACGTTAAAAAAACGTCCGTTTGGGCGTAATGTAAAATCTGAAAGCTTTCAGATTTTTTTTCCTTTTCGTTTTTGACAACATTATCTATTGTATCTCGCCTGGAGAAAGATCTGGTGCTCTAGCAAACCAAAGCAATATATCGTAGAACATGTTGGGTTACAACAGCGGTATAAAAGCTAACGTAAAACACCCTCTTGAATGCTGTTCATGAATGGTAGCAGAACAGGTTGAATCATAGATTTTACAAATTTTCAAAAGACTATTATATCAAAATTTTAATGATTAAGGGTGCATAGGAAAACCACGAGAGTGCTCCTGCTGTCATACGAAGTTTTTCCCCAGAACATAATTCTAGGTGTAGGTGCAATGTGTCTAGGCCGCAGAAAGGTTGGTTGCAGGAGCTCACCTGGCCTGCTTCTAACCGACACACGGCCATCACTGGCACTAAGGCAGAACAGGCGTTTATCAGAAACATAACAGAACTCCACTCCGTCATATAATGAGCTCTAGCTTGACACCACTGATGTCGCAAACGGCAGTGGTTTGTAGTCAGTGGAATGCACACAACAGGGCGTCTGGCTGGGAGCTGTCCTTCAAGTAACCAATTTGTAACAGCTCGTTATGTCACTGTGGTGCTAATTGCAGTTCGAATTTATGCTGCAGACGTAGTACAGTACGCCACAGCCATACACCGAACACGGTTGTCTTCTCCCTCAGCAGTGCAGTGTTGACCGCCCAGAAACCGGTCTTCTTGAACCAGTACATTCCTTTAAATATAGCTGCTGATAATCATACACAATGGATACATTCCTGTTAACTCTTTCTACAAAATCGCTTAAAGAAAATCTACTATCTCGTAGCTCTATTAAACGACCTCGTTCGAACTTACTGAGCTGTTGATAATGACTTCTTCCTAAAAGCATTCTTGAATAATATCAACTTAACTTCATCAAAGCTCAGCGATAAATAACACTTCTGCGCCTAGCGCGAAATTTGAATAGACGCCATCTTTCAGATATATAAATGCGTCTACCAAATTTCGAATCAGATAGTGCTGCTAAACAAACGAATAAATTAAATTTATTCGTTTGTCTAGCATAACTCCCTCTTGGAAGATTTTTTTGTTCGTCAGTGTATAGTAAAAAGATTAAATTTATTTGAGGATGTATCTTTTGATGGTACTATAGGCATTACTTCCTAAACAATGCATCTGTTAGGAGATAAAAGTAAATAAGTATTATGCAATATAAACATGTAAAAAAAACAATGATACTGCATAGCAAAGAGTTTCAGTTAAGTAGCCATAGCAGATAAGGACTTATCGCAATACTTGCGTCTGGATCTTTGTTACAATTTACTCCAAATCATATACGGATTTATTAAAATAAATCCATATATGATTTAAGTATAAAATATTTGCTTGGCTTGGAAGAAAAGAGTATAAGTTATACTTGTTATTCACATCTCTATCATGCGTAAAAATGGACACCTGAACTGCCTAAACATCTATATCCGCTTTTTTATTTTCTTTTAAGTCGATGCAAATGATGCTACTTTTATGCAAAGTAGCAAGAAATACTAAAATACCGTCTTTCTACTGCTTTTCATATTCGATTCTCTCCATCTCATTCTAAATAAAAATTGAAATAAAGCTATATAAACTTTTGCTATAAAAAGAAGAACATATTGCAGCTGTAATTCAAATCAAGCAAATCACGAGGAAAATCCAACATAACTACAACTGTTCTGCTGATATAAATAATCTATTCGATATTCGTATTTGGTAGACGACTGTAATGTATTTATGTGTAATTTCAAAAATCTAAATTTATTGCAAGCGAGCAATAAATTTAGATTT